TGACCACAGTACGTGAAAATCTGGTTAATGTAATGTGCTGTGTGGGAGAAATGTCTGTGCTGTTAGAAGGACTCTTAAGAAGATAGTATGCAATAAGCAAAGTCCACGTTTAGCGCTTATTATAGACTCCTTTTTCTTTAATTATATTTAGAATGTAAGATTCTTACAAGAGAATTCCTCCACTAAAAATATCATAAGAATAATGTGGAAAACTCCAGGTACCCAAAGAGAGACCACAATTTTCTAAATTAGTTTTGGAAAATGTTAAACCCAGGAATGTCATATGTTTATTTAAAATCACATGGAATGTTTTTTAACATGATTATTAATGCTAAAAAGTTAAAACTTACATAAGGGTTTTTTTCTTTCAATTCTGTTCATAAATAACTGTTTTAATCACTGCATTTATGGCTATGTACTATTTACAGAACAACTAAAATATACTAAGCAGATGTAAAGATCCGAGAATAAAGTAGTATCACCCACACCCTCGGCTTGCTGCGTTCCTCTCTATTTACGTACACATGAAAGACCTACAGAGGATGACACTCTTATAACTTATTATTCTGCTTGAAAATAGGTTGAAAAAGAAGCTAGAAACAAAGAGAAAATTCTACAGGAGATCCTCTACCTACAAAATTCAGTGTTTCTTTCCTGAGGTCCTGAGCTGTCCATATGCACACATTGCTGCTTCTGAATTAGAGGCTGATGACATTTAAAATCATTCGGTAGGAGAAAAATGATGACATTTTATGATGTTAAATTATAATGTATAAACTGAGGGTCTATATAAAAGTTCTCTAAAGTAAGCTGTCACTGTTTACATATTTTGCCAAATTTAAGAATATAAAAGTCCAGCCCTGCTCAAAAGAATGAGGGACATACCAGGAACTGCACATGGGGACGGGAAGATCAGAGCCTGCACGTGCCACTTAGCAGAGCTGTGGATAGGGCTGACCCGCTCGAGGCCCCCTGGACTGAGGAGACCCTGGTGTGTGCCCAATGCACACTCCAGCAACTCCATTCGGCCCCCCATGCCCACCCACAGCAGTCAGGGTTACACGTAACCCACCCGTCATTCCACATAAACACAGGTGTTAAGTGGAAGGGAGAAACAGTTCACGGAAATAATTCTGCAATCAGTCATAAAATCGTGAAAAAGAATTAAGTAACATTTTCACATGATATACAACTCTATGCTCCATGTTCTATAAATCAGGGATAAGTCCTTCTCTACATTATCAAGAAAAGTAATATTTAACTCCCTAGAGCACAGTCTAAATCAAGACCCAGAGACAACGCAGTTCCATGATATTGTGAGTATCCAATATCCAATTTATACTTAAAATGTAATTTTTAACTTAAAACCAAAAAAAAATTCCCCTCAGTAAAAAAGAAATGTTAACTTTACTATATCCAAAATTACGATTTAGTCTAATCAACAGAAACTGGTAAAAATGCAATGCCAAAAATCTAAAAATCATTTATGGTAGAAAAAAGTAAAAAAATCAAGAGTGCACTGGAAATCTGGAAACAGCCAGGGAGGGCCTCAGAGAAAAACAACAAAAGAGAAAACGTGCAAAACTGTCAGGAAAAGTTGCTGCTGCCATTCAGACAGACTTTTATTCTACTTTTACCCATGGTTGTATTTTCATTATTTTCAACTAATTTATTTCACTGTGTTGTACTAAAATACACCCTTTCTAAAATTTTGTTTTAATTAAATCAAAACAGACAAAATGTTGAGAGGAAACCAAGTCAACTGTGTTTTCAGGTTTTATTTGGTGTGAAACATCTTTCGGACACCAGTACCATGGTTTAGGTTAAAAAGCCTCTATTTTAGGAAAGCAGAAAGGCAGACTTTACCAGCATGATTTACTAAAGGCAACTTGGTTACGTGCATAAAGATACTGATTCAAAATCCTTTTACATTTGGGGAAAACCCTGCTGAAGATTTACTTTCCAATGGCATCATTCTATTTGGTCTCACACTAATCTGATGCTGAAATAAATTGCTATTACTTGAGCAATTTTCACTCTCTGGCACAAAGTGCCAGAGAAATGCGCTATGTCACAACAAAAGATACAGGTCACATGTGAATTCTAATCTTCATATGAAAATTCCTTTCTTAAAGAAAGCATAGGAAAATGCTGACACTAAGCTTCTCCATTAAAGGGGATTTATCATAACTAAAACATTAAACCAAGCTAAAGTAGCTTGGTACATAATTAGAGAGAAGGGGGGAAAAGGATATTCTCTCGTCAGCTAGTCAATGAAAAAGAGCAAATAAACCAGTTTCTGGCTATAAAGACAATTTACTTTTCCTTTTATAATCGTACATCAAAAAATTTACTGAGACCAAATCAGATTCCTAAATTCAAGAAAAAGTTTTCAAATTTTAAATGTTTCATCTTTAATGCATGATCATTTGCACAATAAAAATTCTTAACCAAAAAATTTTCTCCAATGGCAAAGGGAAAATTCCCAGTCAACATCCTATTCCATACCCAGCTTTTTTTCCACATTAGAAATATATATTAAAAAAAAAAGGGGGGGGGGCTTCCCTGATGGCACAGTGGTTAAGAATCTGCCTGCCAATGCAGGGGATGTGGGTTCGAGCCCTGGTCCAGGAAGATCCCACATGCCGTGGAGCAACTAAGCCCGTGCACCACGACTACTGAGCCTGCGCTCTAGAGCCCGCAAGCCACAGCTACTGAGCCTGCAAGCCACAACTACTGAGCCCACGTGCCACAACTACTGAAGCCCGCGTGCCTAGAGCCCATGCTCTGCAACAAGACAAGCCAGCGCAATGAGAAGCCCGCGCACAGCAACAAAGAGTAGCCCCCACTCGCCACAACGAGAGAAAGCCAACGTGCAGCAACGAAGACCTAAGGCAGCCAAAAATTAATTAATTAAAAAAAAAACTAACAATAAATTCTTCAAGAAAAGGAACTATTAAAATGAAGTTTTTTATTAACAAAAGAAGAATTATGCTTCAACAGCCCTACTTTTAACAAAAGAGGAAAATAAAACTGTATTTAATGGAAACTTCAGGAAAATATCTGTCAAATACAAGCTCACTGATTGCAACAGACTCCAACTCTATTAAATGCCAACATTCTGTAAACGAACTTCATGAAAGAAACAGAAACAAAACAAGAGAGAGAAAATTACTAAATAATTAATTTACGTTGAAAAATGTGGCTCAGGGTAAAGTAAAAGAAGGAGGGAATCCAGTGGAGTATTCTCTAGTTTCCTGACAGACTTGAAAGATTCTCCTCTGCTAAGCAGTAGATAAAAAACCACTTTTGAGTACCCTTTGCCTTGAACCCCATTCTTCTTGCACAGACCACATGAAAAGAGTAAAAACATTTTCAGTCCCTCAAGCACCGCAAGCATCAGCTCTGAAATCTATCCCCAGTCCATCTACTGCTTGGTACCAACTGTTACCATTCTAGTCCACAGCACGAGCCGTCCCTACGCACGGCCACAACGAGAATCTACGAAACGGTCTTCCTGCTGCCACACTCACCCCCAACCATCCACTCTCTGCAGAGGAGCCTGTGAGACCTTTCAAAGTACAAATCAAATCCTGTCACTCCCCTGTTAAAACCTTAACCATGGCTTTCAACTCATCCACCAGAAGGACCCACCAGACCCTCTGTGATCAGATCCCGGCCACCTTGCCTAGCCCATCTCCTTTCCTGCTGGCCTCACCCATTCCTTCAACTTGCCCTCAAAGCCCAGCACTGCTGACAGTTCCCTGTGGTGGCGACTGGGTGCAATGCAGGATGCTGAACAGCATCCCTGGCCTCGACCCACCAGCTGCCATTAGGACCACCTCCCAGCCCCCAGCTGTCACATCCAAACATGTCTCCAGGCGTTGCTCTTAAAGAAGCCAAGCCCCCTCCTGCTTCCTGGTCCTTTCCCCTCCTGTTCCCTCCACCTGAAATCCAACCCCCAACACTGGAGGTGGGTGACTGGTTCCTTTCCATCACTGTCTCAGCCTGGCTGCTGGGACCACTCAGAAAGGCCATCTCTCATCACCCACTTCCATCACATCTGTCGCCTGGAGCCTAGCGTAACAGCGTACAAATTAAGTGCTCAAAGAGCACCTGCTGGAAGAATGCATAAATGTCAGTATTCATGAGAAAAGTGCTTAAGTGGCAGGATCCTAATATTTAATACATGATGTCACGGTGGCAATCCTGGATCCTCTGCTATCCTGTATCTGCCTGCATCTTTCACACGTGAGCATTTGCATGTGCCATTAATCTGTCCTTTGGAACTATCAGTAGCATTACTGTCAGTTAGCACATCTTTCCCAAGGATGGGGAATAGAGAGACATCTGAGCTCAGAAGAGCACGGAACAGCCAACCTACTGCTAAAACAGCCACGGCTGAGAGAGTCCAGGGGTGTCCGCTCAGGGACACAGATGGTTCACCATTGTACCTAAGTAGTCACTCTAATTTATCTTGTTTTGAGTACAAAAAGGTCAATAATTTTGACTTAAAAAAAGAGGAAAACATGACTCTGGCTCCTATTTCAAAGGCAAAAGGCTATAACGGATGAAATGTGAGAGCTGAATCTTAACTGATCAATCAGCTTTTACTGTTTTCATGTGAACTGGTAAAAATCCATTCAGGTTAACCATACGCCGAACAGTTAAACCCTGCAAAACTGTAGTGTCTCTAATCAATAGTCCAGATGAATTCCATTCAACTCTCAAAAAACTTATTCACCTATGTCGTAATGGTCCTTTTAGTTACTTCTGGAGTTGTTTCTAATACTAGTACTTTGAATATACATTTCTTCAGAACATTAATGCAGCTGTTTTTTCTAAATTATCACATCACTGCTCTGAACGGCTAAAATGTAATTCTAGGTATTAATCAAAATCACTGCTTTAAAAGCCACCACTCATCGGAGCCTTTCCACAAGAACTTCTGGATGGGGACGTGAGGCCAAACAGAGCAGCGGGGGGTGGGCGGCACCTACCAGTTGTGCACCATAAGCTTCTGCACGGCCAGGAGGGCGTTGTAGCGCACCTGCTGGTCCTCGTGGTGCATGTGGTTCATCACCAGCTGCTTCCCACCGAGCTGCTCGATGACCCTGGGGGCCAGAAGCCACGTGGTGAAGACGCTGCAGTTACTTTCAAATGCAAGCTGTTAGCAGAAAGCCCCAACTCCGAACTGCCCAGTGGTTTTACAAAGAAAAGTTACCATACAGGTAAGTAAACCAACACACGTGTCTTTTTTAAAATATCATTTTCTCCAAATCACAGATTTAAAGTTTTTATATATTTTCTCTTGAATCCCTAATGCTAAACCCAATTGTTATTCTCATTTCCTAGTCTGGGCAAACATCATCAACCTGGACTGCTGCAGTATCTAGATTATAGCGTTCTACAGACAGTGGAGTAGTAACTTCTTTATCACCAGTATTTGTGGCTTGCTTAAAAACCAGTATAATGATTACCACCTTATGTCTGAAATAACATCAGATCAATACTAAGCCCAGCAGTTGCCATGCTGTGAACCAGATACGGGCTCAGATGCAGACATGAGAGAACACGAGGTTAAAAAGCACCCTGTAGGAGCCATGTTAATTTCCTGAAAAAGACTTGATTTGTTAAGATATCTGCCCTTTCCTATAATGATGGAACATGCCACATGACCTGCTGGGCAGTGAAACAAATGAGAAAATTCCTGTTGTCAAGAACACCAGCACTGCTGACAACCAGCACTGCTTTCTGTCACTGCCCCCTCAACCCCCTGAAAAATCCAGTTACTACAGACACAAAAGCAAAGTGAAAATGGTTATTTGCCTCATGAATGGAAGGAAGTTCTCTGCTCCTCTGGGGGGGG